TCTGAGCAATTATCCTGTGGGTAGAGTAATGTTTACTTAACACTGGAGTGGATACTAATTAGTCTCTGACATGGCTTTCCCGTGGTTAAAACTGTCTGCTACCCTCAGGATAACTGTTCAGAGGAAAGAAATTTCATCCAAAGGATAGTGTTATCCATAGGCAATCATTGGCAATGGTCAAAATTGATATTCTCAGATATTGTAAAGACTAGTTTCTGGCAAAAGAATTCCAAATGCATAAAATTAATATAAAGTGATTCTCATTCTTGTATGTAGTAAAATGTCAGTTTCTTTAAAAAAAATGTTAGAAAATGCAGAATCAAGCCAACAAATAAACAAGTGAAGAGAGAAAGCCGTATGTTCTGGGTATTACCTGAAGGGCTTCAAGTAAACTGTCCAAGCCACCCAGTTCAAGGAACTCTTGAAGCCACGTGGGATCAGACTGCTCAATTTTCAGCCTAAGATTCTGATACATTTCTATGGAGGGGTCCAGTGTTTGCCTTGCATCTGAGAGGGGCTTAATATTCCCGTCTTCATGCTGCTTTACTGGCTGCATAGTACTTTGTGTTTTGTCTCCTGGCATTATGCTTTAGTTACATGATTTTCTGGAAAAAAAGGTAAAAAGTGAATTTATAGCATATCCAGTGTTTAATTTTAAAAAGTGTCTTTAATGTAAATAAAACATCCTTTCTCATATACATGTAGTTCCTAAGTCACATACTGTAAACTCATAAAAATAAAGGAAAAGGGACTCTAATCTACAACAAAATAACTTCTAAATGATGGCTGTCGAACAGGGGTTTCCCCAGGGTTTTGGGGTACAGGGAGTCAGAAATGCGAATCTGTAATTAAGTCATCAATTTAATACAAGGAGTCCAAGCAAGCCAAACCAACCAACCCAAAAATTTTATACCAGTAAGCTATCCAGCCATATTTGGGCCATAATAAAGGCCATCTGTTGAGGTCTATGGCTGTCCAAATGATGGCTGTCCAGCTCTCTGGAGAAATCCTTGCTGTCTACTAGTAATCTTTCACAAAATAACTTTAGCCCAAACATCTCTCTTAACTTAAGAAAAACCAGGATATTAGGAGAGAAAGAGAGAGAGAAAATACATACATTGACTGTCCAAAAAATAGACAAACCACTTGGACACTTACAACCTTATCTATACATTGCAATAAACATTTAAACTAAGGCGGCAAAGTTAAACTGTCAATTTCACCCAGATTAGTCATCAGTCACCAAACAAAAAGTGAAGCCTTTGTTCAACTGTCACATTTGTCATCTGCACCGCTGCCCCACTAATCAAATAGGGCTAGGGCAGTTATAGCCACCAAATAGAACAAACATATGGGATCAAAAGCTAACGTTCATTTTTTTTATATCAATAACTCTTAAGATGTCTGACTTTGGTTCCTGGGTAGAAAGAATGAGGAATGTATTTTTTTCCAATTATCATTGATTTTGTGACAAATATTCATTTCCACTATCATAATGGTAAAACAAGAAAAATTGTAAATGTAACCCAAGGAAAATGACTGTAATTTTTAAAACACTGTTTTCTGTTGCTATTAAATGAGTGTCATGTAATGCACATCTTTTTATTTGCAAGTTTTTTTATTGGGACCCATATAATCATTATATAAATTAATTTTAAAAGAATTTGTAAACTGGATTCACTTTTGATTCAAGTATTTTGAAACTCATATTTTAAATTGAAAAAAATGGCATGACATTTAATAAAATCACTCAAGTTAGATACAAACTTATCAGACATGTTTAAGAAAAAATGAGTCAATCGACTGCACCTTCATTTTGAAACTGAAATTTTGAAATGCAAATTGTGATTTAAATTCTGGCAGCAAAATAACAAGCCAAAATTGACTCCACTCAAGATTTAACTCAGATACAGATCACTTTGCATTAACAGAACACTGTGCAGAAATACCACACTGTTAGATCTACACTAACCGCAAACTAGGATAAACAAAAAAAACAATGTTCATCGACTTTCGTTACCGGCTTTTGAATTTTTTAAAACACATTTTAAATGAACAATAAATCTACGAAAAAAAACTTAAATACATGGCACCACTGACCTGAAATGCTTTTGTAATTCCACTTTGGCAATCAGCGATGTTGTTGTGAAGCCAGAGTCATGTAAACTGTACAGCGCACTCTTTAAGGCAACGGTTACATTCGGTTGCTCAAAACAAAAATGGCGCGTCACGATTGTCGTTCTACAGTCATTGGGTATCGATATGAATTTCAGACATAAATATCAATAGCATGATTCCAATTGCTCAAATATGCAACAATAAGGCTACTATTATACATTCTGAAATGGATGATTTGTGTTGACTTTAACAAGAACTGCACGAAAATTTGCTTTTAGTTGATGTTGAGCGACATCAAGTACCTATCACAAGTAATTAGTATGGTTCTTCAATATTGAAGGACCGAATCGCAGTGGAGTTAAAAAAACGTGTAAAGGTTGCGGTGCCTCGGATTAATGAAGGTCGACCATACAACTAGGACAGACGATGTATTTCACTGTGTCAACTAAGTTGAAACTGGTCAACCAGGGGTTGACAGCATTGTACAACCGTCCTCGTACTTTTTGTGGTGTGTTGATTTTTTAAAAGTCCGTTTAAAGTGTGCAACCTCTCACATTATTTCTTGTTTCGTCAGCCGTTTACATATGATATACCTAGAATAGAAAAAGTAATAAAATGACATTATTCCTATATTTAGATACAGTACAGCCAGTCTATGACACTGTAATTGATATGTATATCAGCGTTCAATGTCTACTGAAATTACTATATTTTATTTTACTTTTCCACATTTTTAATCTACCAGTGTACGTACTGTTAGTGCATGAGATTTTTTTTGCAAAATTGAGAGACATCAGTTTGGTTGTATCGAAGTTGTACTATTGTTGATGAATGCAGTGGTGTAAAACGTATTCTGGCTGGTATGCACATTAGAAAATCCTCTTGTAATGTGTTACACTTTTTTACTGTCAAAGATACTATAAGTATGCATTGGAAATTGTTTTAAAAATATATATTTAAAAAATTATATACATGCACATAGTGGGTTGCTGTGTAGATTTGAATCTACACACTTAGATATGTTTTGCATTAAATGTATAACATAACAGGTGACATAACAGGTGTTTTAAAAGGACGTCCCTCTTAACCTTACGTTTTCAATTACAGGTATAGCCAGGCCATACATCAACAGGACAATGTCCTGCCATGAACTGACCAGGGCCCCGTCCAGTCCCACTGTCCACTGTAAGAGATGGCAGTCCAGTGACAAAGACACCTCAGGGTCTAAACCCCCTTGGCAAATGGGCGAATCAGTTACCGAGGGATTTGGTATAAAAGAGTTTTTCACACAAGAAGGGAGTAAAGGACGTGAATTTCTGACAAATGCTGGAAAGTTTGTAGGAGCAGTGTTTGCATGTTTTGGTGTATGGTATGGTTATCAGGTAAACCTGAACATGCATGGGACTCATTCCTATTGAAACTATCGGTCTATGTAGATCGATCCTACTCGGGGGAATTCTCGCTGAATGCAATCAGTTTAACAGATAAACACCTCCTTCTGGTATTGAGAAGAATATGGAAAGGCTTGTGATTATTAAAGTACGTTAGAAACAAGAGCTGACATGTTAATCTGTTGAACTGATTGCATTCAGCAAGAGTCCCCCTGGTGTTTATTTGATTACTGTTGACCGATAGTTTGGAGGGAAATGAGCCCTTAGAAGATGTGTGTCTTTAAAATACAACATGATAAAATTTTTAAACTACAAATGCATGTATGAAAATAATCAACTGGGAACAATTCTTTACCTGCTGTTAATGTACATGTTACTTTTGGGAATATCAACATACTTTCTTCCACAGTTCCTCAAAATGAAGAGAAGCACATTCGTATTTGCCTAACACATGAAATCACCCCAATTCTGGAAACCCTGTAGACCAAACAATGAAAATTATCAAAAACAAGCGGAAAAACTTTCATACCATTAGCTTAGGGCCAGCCTGGAAGTAGGCCTTCATCAGACTGATGTGAGCAGATGTTGTTGAAACTCACTGACCGCTAGGTGGTAGAGCTGACAGGATCCTGTGATAAATGTCAGGTTGGCCGTAAGATAACGATATGAACATTTTTTGCCTTGTGTTGAAGATCCAACTACCATGCTAATGAACATTTTTGCTCAATTGTGTAATTGTTGTAGGTATACAGATGGAAGAGTGGGAAATCTGTGTCATCTCTTCTAATACTGCCAGAAGATAAAACAGAATATAAAAGAACACGTAAGATATGTCTTTTTTCTCAATATGTTCACTGCTGAGTAACCATTACATATTATGGCTCAGAACTGCAAAATTCTTTCAGTTAGACTTCAGCCATGATCATTTTATTTTTTGTGCGTTTTAGATCACACAAACTGAAGTTTTTATTATTAGGAATTGGAGGACTATTTAAATGGCACTTGAAAAACTTTGATCTTTATCAGACAAACAGGTATTTGATCAAAATTTACCACATTTCTTAGCATGGCTGAAAAGTGGGGATTTAAATGTTGAAATTGTAGATGTACGTTATTACATAATGATTTTGTATTCATGCCCTGTTCAGTGGACCCATTGATTAATCGCTTAAGCCCCCTTTACACTGGATGGCATCCTTTCTTCATCCGTAGTATGGCCCTGTTTGAGAGTAAAAAAAAAACAAAAAACTTTACATGCTGATAACTGGCTGATTCATTCTGCAACCAAAGCGATGCTTGTGCCTCCTTTCTACGACCACAGTGATGCCAGTTTCATGGTCCCACAAAGGACGCAGAAAGAACCATGTCCAGTGTAAAGGGGGTTTTGATACAATATTGCTATTGCAACTTAAAGATAAGTAAAAAAAATTAAAAACTGATATTGATGTTATTCTTTAATTATTCTCACAGCTCTGCCTGTTACACCTTCGGCAAGCATCCCCAAGAAAGTTCAACACTTGCTGATTGGGGGAGGTTTAGCCTCCATGTCTGCAGCTAATACCATCACCAAAAATGACCCCAAAGCTGAGGTAGAGCTCCATTTTTTTCATTTTAAACTTGTCAGCCAAAATGATAGAAAAAATGAACAACTGCACAAGTTTTCTGTTTTATGGTAAATTGTATCAAGGTTCTTCATATTAGTTTTCTTTTATAAACGATGGGAATTATGACAGATTGTGATTTACTAGTACTTGATTTCTATTAAATGCCAGTAGAACTGTAATACAACAAATGGTATGGCCTAGTTAATGTACTGATATGGTCTTGTAAATGGAGGTACACAGTTGTACTTGCACAAATATGTACTTTATATGAATGTGCCCACTCACCTTCACATGCACTGGCATTCTGTACACATCCAATTGCACATGCATATCCACATATTTGGGGTAGTGCTAACACTCGCCATTTTAGCCAAATGCTAAAACTGACATAGATTGGCTAAACAAAATAGGTTTGGTTATATTGTTTTAGTCAACATTCAAAGCATATATGGTGGAAAAGGTGATGAAAAAGTAGTGATTTGGCTAAGCTAAAAAATTTGCTGGCGCTACCTCAGCAGTGATATGCATTTGACAGCTTTTCTGTTTTGATTTACAGGTACTGATGATTTGTGATGAGACAATTCAACCATACAGGCGCCCCCCTCTCTCCAAAGACATGTGGTACTACACAGAACAAGACAATGCAAAGGAACTGCTATGGCAAAACAACAAGGGGAAAATGAATCAGTAAGTGCATGAGCAGTTGATTTGGCTAGCAGCATACTGTATGGGCATGGATTTTTTTTCTTTTTTTTTTGTAGTTTATTATATGTAAAAATGTCAATTATTTATAAGTTATTTTTATATGTAAGAATAACTTTGTCTTCAGTGCTCTCTGCTGAAAAATATGAAGCTATGATTTTATGAAAGGTGAACCAACAGAAAGAAAAATGTCTAGAATTTTTACATGCACCACTTCTGTTTTCTTTTTCTTTTTAAGTATTATAGGCCGCATTCAGAACAGTGGACTTACTAGTCTGAGGGTCAAATATGGCAACCCACTAAAAAGCTTGCCATCTTATCTGCTAATAGACACTGAATGGGTTCCCTGTGGATAGTGTTCAAGTAGGTTGGCCATATTTGACCTGCAGACTAGTTAGTCCACTGTTCTGAATATGGCCATACATATTTTTGATAATTGCAGTCTTGAATTTCTCCCCATGGAGGCCTTCAAGGACATCACATCCGATGAACCTGGAGTGAAAGTAGCCATTGGACAAAAGGTAATCATATGGTCAGTGTTTGGCCGCCATGGCCAAGAGCCTTATAAAAATAACACAGCATTTAACAGCCTAGAAAAGAAAACAATTTATTCCGAGTAAGCCCTTGTATACAAGATCAGCTAGTTCACATTCACCAATCAGAGCAAGTTATACAATGGACAGTTTTAAATATAAGTTACCAATTGGAGTAGATCACGCAGCGTTACAGGAAGAGATTCAAACTTGCACACTGGACAGTACTTTGCTTATAGAGAAATCTACTGGTAGCAATACAAAACAATCTCAACTAACACACTACATCGTTAAATCAGGAGTCTTAAGGTTAAGGGTCATGTCATATAAGTTTAAGACGTTTCAAGTTTCTAATTGAAAATTCACTTGAAATATTGTTGTACACCGACAACTTTAAATTGTCAAATATCTGTCTTAGCGTAAGTGATTAAGTTTATGTCCTTTTTTACCGTTGTCTTCTATAAAACCACAGGTAACCAGTATAGACGTAGAGAACCAGAAAGTGTCTCTGCAGGATGGGACAGAAATTGATTATGACAAATGCCTTATTGCCACAGGTGAGACACAAAAATGAGGTGTTTTAGCATTATATTTATGTTTTTGATTGTATACATGTACATAATGTATGCATTGTAGCATTACACTAATGGAAAAATAAAATTATCTTTCAACAGATTTTGATATTATACGTAAATGATAATTAATTACCCCTAGCAGCTTCAGTAGACTTCACAGACATCTAAGCTACTAAAGTTGATTGCAATTTGAAATCCCCTTGGAGATACAGGTAGATCAATCCACAATTTGTACGATAGGGTCTGGGAATGGTTCCTAAATGTTGACACCATTATAAGTAAGCCTTGGCTTTTTACATAAATTCTTCCTCGTTTATAAAAGATACATTTATAAATGACAAAGGTGATGGTACTCAAAATATCTTTTTGACTTCAGGAGGTACACCAAAGATGCCAGCATATTTTGAGGGAGCAGAAGAAGAGGTTAAAAGTAAAACCTCCGTGTTTAGAACTGTGAGTACATTATTAATTAAGAAACACAAATGGGCACATATACATGTGCACATACATGTACCAGTACATTGACATGCATTTATACAAGTGTATACATACATATATACTTGATTTTAATATAAGAAATTAACTGCAGCAGGGATTTTTGCTGCTTTTCCCCATTAAAACACATGAATTTTCTGCAGGTTTCTGTTAGTGGTATTTGTGGCATCCTTTGACTGCTGCTTTCAGTATTTTCAGTATTTCATCAAGAAACTTGTGTCTGGGTCATCTTGTCTTGACTGCTGCAGAATATCCACTTTATAATGACTCTGCTGATTTTTTTTAATCTAATTAATCTTTTATTGTAGGTTGATGATTTTTTCCATCTAGACCATATTTCAAGGACAGCAAAATCAGTTGCAGTAATAGGCGGTGGCTTTCTGGGAACTGAATTGGCTTGTGGCCTTGGGAATAGGGGTAAGTACTGACACAGTTTCTGCTCATGCATGTACATTCAGTGGTAATGTTTTGATTATCAACAATATGACCATGTGAACTGTGACAAAACTGTTTTCCCATGAATCAAAAAAAAAGTTCTTTATCACACATGTGGATAGATCATACTTATTGACCTCTAAAAAGTAAAATTTTTAAAAGGACATCTGACACTTTTAGGCTCTATTCCCATAGATTTTAGATCGATCTATCCCCGCGGGGAGTCTCACTAGATTACTTTCAGATAATCCGACTTAAATGTCCGTCCCGCCTACTACAAGCTTTAAGGGGGTAATTAACTTTCGTGTCCGCCCGTCTGACAGCTATTTAGCGTGAACCCCAGGGAGTTAGGTCGATCTAAAGTAGGTCGATCTAATCTATGGAAATGGGGTGTTAGAGCGCATTCAGAACAGATGATCTGCGGCCGTATTGATCCACGGACTAAATATGGCCAACCCCACATAAAAGGTAGCCACTTATAATCTCCTGATGGTTTCCCATCCTCCACTCACGTTGTCCCTGCAGGGACGTAGCAATTAAACCTCAGAGCCAAGATTTAATCTGTTTAATGGCGTGTGTCAAGGCGGGGAGACCATCGTGAATTAAGTGGCTACCTTTTATGATGGGTCAGCCATATTTAGTCCGTGGATCAGTAAGTCTGATCCTCTAGTTGTACTCATTATTTAATATACAGAATTTGTGGTTTACAGGGAAAAGTAGTGGCTGCAAGGTGGTGCAATTGCTAATGGAAGAAGGTAAGTTTTGGGAGTAGATTTGGTGAGTTTGATCCCTGACCATTTCATACCAAAGATCATGCAAATACTGTTTGGTATCTCCTTGCTTAAAAAAATAATAATAATAATAATTTATTGTCATATTTATACATAAAAGTATAAATGACAATTTATATGATCTGGTGATATAATAAAATACAATAGAATAATTAAAATCCATTTTGCTCATTAAAAATATATACTGCTGATGGGTAACAGCTTTTTTTAGTGTGTGTGTAAGTTGCCTTTAATGACCATAGGCGACTTTATGACATATGCATAAATAAAATATTCACTGGGTAGACAGGTTTTAACACCCATATCATTTAATTAGAAGTTATAACAGCATAGGAGAATTACCCATGGAGAATCGACGAGTTTGGGATTTAAGGTTATTTGACATTTGATTCACTTTGTGGACTTAAAATCACTCATTAAGACATATAAATTTATTTTTTTTAAAGGTCACTTTGGAGGACTCCTTCCTGAAGAAATGAGTAAACACTGTATTGACCTTGTGACCAGTGGTAAGTTTGTGGTCAACTTTATAAACATAATACTGATGTTTAGATTTCAATCTTAAATGTAATACATGTACCTGTAGTATTAAATATTATGAAATATAATGATAATCTTTATAATAAATTTTAGGATAATGGGCTTAGCTAAAATATACATCTTTAATACTAGATACCCAAATATGTGTTAATATGTTTATAATATGTTGTCATTCTTGAAATTGATTGACAATTGGACTGAAATATACACGCTTCATGTTGTTCTAAATTCACTTACAATCTGTTATAATGATGTTTAACATTTCCCTCAGCTCTTCTTCTTCTTCTTCTTTTTTGGTTGTCTGCCATGAGGCAGGATTACTGTCTCACACACCATCCATCTCGATCTTCAGCCCTTCCTTTGATCTCGCCATAACTTTTTGTTCCAACTGTTTTCTTTCTTCTTACACCAGTGCTCGAACATTGTCATTCTCTTTCTACCTTGTCCTCTGTCACCATTTAACCAGCCTTCAGTGCCATCCCCAAGCAGTCCATGATGCCTCATAATGTGCCATCAGCTCTATCTGAAGTAAATTTGACCCACGTAAATGACTTGTGTCTATTTTCTAATACAGAGGGTGTTGAAGTGCGGCCGTCGAGCACTGTTACTGGTGTACAGTACGACAAGAAAGAGAACAAGGTTGTGCTACAACTGGGCAATGATGAAAAGGTAATTATTCTTATCATAAAGAATATTATCTTGATATCATCAATATTACATATATACATCATGAAATTCCATCATGAGTTCAGCTTCTGATATCTTTGGGATGCCAGCATTTGTATATTTAGTAGATGTGTATGATCTTCATTCAGTAATTTTGGTTGAAAATACTTGTTTTAGTTGCTTTGACAATATGATTATGTGTGTTAAGTACTTTTTATCTGTCATAGTTGATCTCTGTAAATGGGTTTTCAGTGTAATTTATTTATACAGTGTGAATTGTGATGATGTTTCAGCTTTATTTATTTCTCTTTAGAAACTAACCAGACATGAGAGCTGGATTAAATATTGTCTGTGATGGTGTAAAGATACATTGGTTTTTGAGTAGAAATGATATCTACTATGTACATGTGACACACACGTATATATATATATATATATATATATCAGGTGTTAGTGGATCACGTGGTGGTAGCAGTAGGTATCCAGCCTAATGTGGAGCTGGCAGAGAGTGCAGAACTAGAGGTGGACCCCATACGGGGAGGCTTCATGGTCAACACTGAGATGGAAGCTAGGTCAAACTTGTATGTGGTAAGGTCGAATACATCTTCTGAATTAAGGAAAGTTTATGGTCGTCCAGGTCTTTCTGGGGCTAGAGTTTGAGTTTTGGCCACACTGGCTATCTGTGTGATAACAGTTTTGATAATGGCAAATGCCATTCAAATTAAAAATGTCTTACTAGTACTAGTACTTTTTCCTAGCTTGTTTTGGTGTGAAGGCATTTCTGCGACAGAGTTCTGTTTTGATTTGTGAATAAGACAGTTAGTCAAGGGGCAGTTCAGTGCTCCCCTCTGACACATATTTACACATGTTCACAAGCGCGCACATGCACACACACACACACACACACACACACACGCACGGAGAAGACATGATGGTAATTACTCTTTTCGCTGGGCAATAATTGTCAAACTTTCAGGTACATTATTTTATAATTCCAAAAATATTTATGTATAGCATGTGTGGGGCTTTTACTGCAAAGAATAGAACTACGAAGAATAGAACTATAGAGTAGCCTGGTTTTCTATTTTGTTGAATGTGTTTATTTTAAGGAATTATGACTTGAAAATGCAGTGTTTGTAAAATTCACAATTTTCCCCCATTGAAAAGAACGAAACACGCCATTAATATGAGAAATTACCTTTCTTTTACAAACAGTCACTTATTTGTAGGCAGGAGATGCTGCATGTTACTATGATCCCAAGCTGGGACGCAGGAGAGTGGAACACGTAGTGCAGGCTGTTATCTCAGGAAACATAGCAGGAAACAATATGACGGGGAAGAAAGATTCTTACAAAAAACAGGCATATTGGTGGTAAGATCATGACCGTCTTTGATTTGATTAATGATATATTAGTGTGGTGATATAAGTTTGTTATTGTTTCTTGTGGAATGATGGTTAATTTTTTTCCCAACGAGGCACTTTGATGAAGGTCTGGTTGAAAGGGTTATGCCTCCTAGGTAAAGAACATGTTTAGTCTCTGTTGACACAGTTTCCATTTTGCCTACGTTTTTTTTTAACATGATTGTGCCAATTAGTTATGTAGTGGACTAAATTGTTTTCATTGATTGTCAGTTGTTATAGATATATAAATCTCATTGGTCAATTTACCAATTAGTGCATTTTTAAAAAAATCTTACTACTATGAACATTTATTTCAAGTTTTTGTAGTCGTGGGATGAATTTGTAAATGTTGAAATACATGTACTACATTTTTAATTGTTTGTTTTTGCTTATCACTACTAATTAGAAATAGGTCATTATAGTGCTGGTCACATGTTTACAATCATACAGTGCAGTCCAATAACTTGTATAAACACCCTGAATTTCAGTGCTTGACTCATACTGTTTTCTTCTAATCTTTGTTTTAATATCACTTCAGGACTGATCTTGGTCCAAAGTTTGGTTGTCAGGGTATAGGATTGGTCAACTCAAAGTTGAATACTTTTACGTTTCCATTTCCAAATGATGATCAGGTAAATCAAAATTATTATTTACAAAACTCTTTTGGGTTTCAAGTCTAATAGTTTATAATTTTAAAGAAAATTGGCATAGTGAACAAGGTACACGTAACATTTGAAGGCTGGTTCATTTTGACTTTTACTATATTGATAATCAGATACTGTACCAAATAGTTTGTACTTTCATGTTGGACTTTGTAAATGTTAATGAATTTCTCACAATTGCTGTAGGTGCCATCTTAGCAAAATTTTACCTTTTTTTCACCAGAGTGAGCCACCTGCAGGGAATTACTTGAATGGTGGAAAAGGAGTGGTGCTTTATATGAAAGGCAAGAGAATCGTTGGGGTTTTATCATGGAACATGTCATCTGAAAGTCATATGGCTGAAGCAGAGAAAGTAAGTAATTTGGTTCTGAGGTGAAGTGAGGAAAAAAAAAACATACTATAAATTTTTTTTTAACCCTAACTTAATTAAACTGGACAAAAAATTATTTTACATTATTCTGTGCAGTAAAAGCACCACAAATGCTCTACGAAAAATTTGGGAAATATGTTCATGATCTTCCTTAAAAATCCAAGTTGTTTTTTACATAACCAGTGAGGTTCTAATAAATAAAATACTCGATTATCCAGGTTGTTTGACTATTTGCCGACTTAATTCTTTTTTGATAAAGATAATAAGAACAATGGATGTAATTTCCAACCACTTAATATGGTAACACTGCTTGGGTGAAAACCCCATTGGTTGACTAGAAAAATTTCCAGAGTGATTTTAAAATGGACTTAATGTAATTTAATTTTCCTAAAGCCATGAAATGTGAGTTACTAAGTTAGAGTTTTGATTGAAAGCACAACTTTGCAGAAAAATAAGGTTTGATTTTAAATTACATTTTACCATTTCTGACATGATAGCATATGTCTCATGTAATTGATTATTAATTTTCATCTTTAATTTTGTAGGTGATCAGGGAGCGCAAAGAGTATGATGAGACAAGTTTGGCAGAAGTAGCAGTCAGGTTCAGAACTCTAGAGGACACTTGGAATTTAAAATCAAAGAACTCAGAGGAAACCACAAAAGATACAAAGAATGAACAGAAATCTCAAGAAAAGAAATAGAATAGATCTCGTCCAGTCCTTTTTCAAGATAAAATTTGACCTTCATTAAGGTTCACGAACTTTTAAGATCCTATTGGAATTGGAAGATTTATCATTCAGATCTCTTGAATTATTGGATTTTTTTTACTAATGGCGTGTACTATCACCAGAGGAATACTTTTACATATTACATTTTCAGTCGAATTATTTTTTCCCATTATTAAACATTTGTTGAATTGTTGAATTGTTAACTTCATCCAACACAGATCATGCCAAGTTGAAATAGCATTTTTTAAAGACTTTTAATTGTAACTTCAGAGTAAATGGAAAGGATTGAAGAATGGTAGAAAGACAGGTTTATTTACATCTTATCTAAATCATATCAGAGCAGAATGTAACTTGCTGCTTTAAGTTTAGCAAGGGGTCAAAGTGTACTAGTAGGCTTGGTAATGGCTTTAGAGAATTATACCGTTTTCAAAAGTGTTGCAATTACAGCATAAAGCATGCTAATCTGTAGATTGAATTATAACTCGTCGCGAAGTTATTAAGAGCATTAACTATGGAGTGTATCAATTTATTTTCTCATTGGAAAATTATACATTTTTAAAATATTTGTTAAATCCACATTAAGGTGTGGAATTTATTAAATAAATATATGAATGAAAATATACATGTGCCTTCCCGATTTCCAAGGAGACAAGTTCCAATTATTTTACTTGTCTTTAATTTCATAAATCCATGTACCGATACACCTGTATGTGTAGCTGGTGAAATAAATTTGGGTGATAAAAACAGACCCATAGCCAGCAATTTTAAAGCGGTCCGTTTTATTAACATCCACAAAGGACCACTGGCTTCCACAAGCATAAAATGTTTGGGAAATCACTATCTACTGAACGATAACTTAGCAGAGAACGTGGACGCTTGTGATCGTTTGTGGACGTTATAATAATTAGACGGACCCAGTTCCAAGGGGATGGTATTTTCTGATGAAGTGGACCTTTTTGCTTTGGTAAAGTTTAAATTAAAAAAACTTTGGGCTTAAAGGAATACCTTTAGTTCGGATCATCGTCATCATCAAGCCAATAGTCACCAAAAGTGTATTTACTTTGCCCCGAATGTGACGTTTTACATTGCCATACATGTCGGCGGGTCGAGGTATTCCCTTAAGCCCGCATTTTCACCTCCGCCAAGGAGGTTATGTTTTCACCCCTGTTTGTCTGTCATCAACATAACATAAGTTATGGACCGATTTTGATGAAATTTTCAGGAACTGTCAGAAGTGGGGCAAGGAACAGGTGATTAGTTTTTGGTGGTGATCCGGATCAATCATCAATCAATAATAAAAAATATAGAAAATTTAGGGGTGAAACGGCATTGGATGAAGACTTTGCTGCCTTGACGGAGGTCTGCGCTTTCTTAGTGCTTTTCTAGTTTGTAATGAAATTAACCAAAGTTGATCATCCGAACCATTTTTCCAAGTTCCTTTTTTTTTTACTATTCAGCGTAAATTTTTACTCCGGGTGGCAGGCCCATGAATAACCAGCTTGCATGGGGCTTACCCCCCCCCCCCCTCCGTATGGGTTTATTGATGGTATATCGTTGATTGGTCACAATGACGCGTATCTGACATGATTTAGATTCAGCGCTATACTCCCAATCACGAATCCATTTTACGTTGATTTATCGCTAAAATAATTATCGACATCCTTCCTTTTCCCCCTAGTTTTGAGTTTTTTAGAAGTGGTGTATTAACATATTAAACTGCATGGTAGAAGACGCACGATTTAGAGGGGGTCCTGCCCCCCCCCCCCCCCCCCCCCCCCCCCCCCCCCCCCCCACCCCCCCCCCCCCCTCC